TAGACAGATATCACCATTCAATAATAAGAATTAGATCAGAGTTATAATTTACCATAGCAGTAAGAAAGCTTCTTCCCTGCGGCTTCATAGTACTCTGTTTTATAGATGTTTGGATGTAGGAGCCATGCAGCCCTGTACCCAGAAAAAAATTGTTGGTGCACAAAGGTGCTCCCTGAGGAGGGTGGGGTTTGGGGAGGGGAGGGGTCTCAGCTGGGTATACTTCAGCCAGTGTTGCTTAAGCCACACAGGCAGGCAGACACACATCTGCCCGCACCACTGGACCCCGGGAGCACCGGCTGCGGACCATACTTACCGGTCATGGTGTGAGAGAAGGCAGGAGGCGAGTGGAGCAAGCAGCCAGCCTACTTGGCTGGGAGAAAGGGAGGAAGAGAGAGAAGGAAGGTGGCTCTTGCTGGCCAGCTCCCTTTCTCACTCTCTTGCACAGGCCCTGCTCATTGCTGCCACTGGTGCTAGGGGGAGGCACAGCTGTTTGGAGAGATGCTGACTTCTTTGGAGTGTGCCTGATTGCTTGGGGATGGTGCCAGGCAATCGTGGGCACTCCCCGTACATATGGGCCTGGAGCCATGTGACCAGAGCAAACAAGGTGATTCTTCCTAACTGAAACATCTTCCTTCCAGCTTAGATGGTGATGTCTTTGAGGGAAGGAATCACAACATTCATTCTGCTCACGTGATTTCTTCATCTAAGTATTACTGAAACACTGTATGAAGAAGAAGAGAAGAAGAGAAGAGATTGGATTTATACCCCGCCCTTCACTACCCCAAGGTGTCTCAGAGCGGCTTACAAACTCCTTTTCCCTTCCCCTCCCCACAACAGACACCCTGCGAGGTGGGTGGGGCTGAGAGAGCTCTGACAGAAACTGCTCTTTTTCAAGAGCAGCTGTGCCAGAGCTTGTGACTGACCCAAGGTCACATCAGCAGGTGCAAGTGGAGGAGTGGGGAATCAAACCCGGTTCTCCCAGATTAGAGTCCGCACACTTAACCACTACACCAAACTGACTCTCCAGCACAAGGATATGGTTTATCTCTGTCCAGATGTTATCCACATCCAGATGTTACCAGAGTAGGGTGGGGAAAAAGCCATAGGTTAGTGACTCCCCCAGCACTGTGGTGAGATGTTAATTGATTCTGAATCATTCTCTTCCTTCCTTTCTTATGATGACTCTTATCCAGTTAACTGAAACGTTATTTTTTGTCTTAATCTAATACTTGATTCTCAAAGTCATAGTTTATCTATCTGTTAAGATTAAGATTTAGTTTTTTCAATAAAGTAGAAGATTCCCTTTTCATCAATAGAAGCTTAGTTTGCTTACATACTGATGGTACCTGTGCCTACCTGTTTATTTGGAAAGGGCCTCTGGCTCTGTAGTCCAACATCTACTTTACATGCGGAAAGTTCTAGGTTTAATGGCATCTCCAGTTAAAAAGATCAGGTAGTAGGTGATGTAAAAAGATCTCTGTGTAAAACCCTAGAGAGCTGCTGCTAGCCAGACTAGACAGTTCTGATGATGATAGATCAGTGGTTTGATTCAGTATAATACAATTTCACGTGCTTAGAAATACATAATTTTATTTCTAACTATACTGACTTAGTATATTGCTGACATTGCAAATTTTGTCTTGTCAGAGGTTTATGTATTTTGGCTTGCTTTTTTGCATTGACATAAATTCAGGTATATAAATGTACTTTCTGGGGTTTTTTGAATACGTTTTCTTCATTAAGGCAACATATTATGTCTTGGCTATTTAGAATGTCTGGTATGTATCCACACAATGTCTGGCATGTATCCATGCGGGCCTCAACCTGATTCTTATGATGTTACCTGGATAGTGTTCTTTAGGGAACAGATGGTGAAATTTGAAACCACCCAAGATAAATAAGAAAGGGAAACACAGATACAGCACCTGAACATCATGAACAAGTCCCAGTTTGTGACAAGCCTAGTTTATTCTGGGACTCATGTACTCTGATAGTATCCTGAGTAAGAAAACATACGGTTATTTGTCAAAGTTTCCCAGTTCAGGAGTCACCACAAAATGCAACTGGATTAAAGGCTACTTAAATCTGTAAGTTTTCAGTCCATTCAACTAATAAATATATTTATTCATTTAAAAAGTGAATTTGTTATTCAAAATGTACAACAAACATATATACATTCCCCTCCCCACTGGCCTGTGGCTACCCGAAATAAGGCTGATTAACAGGGATTGTTAAAAAGATAATGGAAGTGGTTCTGCATGCGTTATAACCACAGAGGGCATGTGCTTCTCTTCCTGAGACGCAGCCTTTTACCTTACCTCTCCAGTATACTACATTGACATGTGGAAGCCTGTTCCTACACATGGATTGTCATCAGCAATTCTAGCCAAATATGTCTTCTGCTTATTTGCAGTTAGTTCAGGGCACTGTGTGATGATGCCAAAGAAAATTAAATTAACATGTCCAGAATTGCCCACATTAAATATTCCAAAAAAGGTGAGGCACTTTAATTAAATGAACAAGGTATACTACAATCTACCTGCCAATCTTTACCTTAACAAGCATTGCTTAAATTATAGTTTTCCACTAACAGTCCAATCCCATGCAAAATTACTCCAGTCTTAATCAATAAATTTAGATTAGAGTACCTCTGCAGTGGATTGCACTGTAAGCTTCTCTCTAGAAGATTTGAATACAAAACCTGAAATATTCACACCATTCACCAGAGATTCACGTAAAGATTGAAAGTTTCACTAACTCTTGAATGCAGTTTTTTGTCACTTCATTTTCATTGTTTAAAACATGTGAAGATAAAAAAGATAGAAATGATAACTTAGGCAGTGAAATTATTTATATTTCAATATTATCAGCTACTGTAAAATAATAATTTCATAATAATTACATTGAGATTCTGATTCTTCTTTAAATGGGCTGTTTTTCTTGTATTTTACTCCATGACATTTTTTTTGCAAACATTTGTCTAAGGTAGACTGCTTTCAAAAGAACAAATATCTAAAAGTGAAAAAAAGTATAGAAAATAGATTTGTAAAATAACTTTGCATTATTAAAACAAAATATTGCCAGTCCAAAATAATCTGAAAAGAGCTGAAAATGCAAATGAAGTTCATGGCACAAAAGGGAAACATTTATTGAGAAATACTAGATTCTCTTTTCCCTAGGTATTTCTTAGTATGTGTTGATAAGTAACAAAACATAACACATTTTCCAGCTATATGCTCATACATTATATGGGTATAATAATGTAAAGTAAATGCCATATTGATGCATGCAAAGAAAAATGAAATGATTGTGCAAGTCTTTGTGGGGTAATGCTCAAATTACTGACTTAATCTGGAGTAGTTGCTTTGGTTCCAGTAGTACTTTGAAACATCTTGGCCACAGTCCAACATAAGATTTAGGTGTGCTTAAGCCCATTGGTTTCAGTGGGTTTACACATGCCTAGCTTTTGGATGGATTGCCTTTTGTTTCATTTCATAGATGGTGCAATTTAGTATGATATAATCATTTGGTGCTGTGACTTGAATACAAAAACTTGTATTTCAATATGTATCCATTTCCACTCCACTTTAGGAAGAATTGTACCTGTATCCCCCCCCCCCCGGTTTTGGGCACAATTCCTGAACTGAAAGTCAAATGAGAACTTCTCACTGGATTTTGCGCTTTGTACTTAGCATTAAAAAAAAAACCACCTGAAAAAGACTTTCCCATAACAGGAGAGGGAAAAAAGAGCAGGGTAACAAGCTATCAAAAAACTCTGTATTTTGGGTCTATCTATTTATCCATAACTCTGTTATCACCCTGTTTGAAGCATGATACTTGACAATATATCCTTATGAGATTCAGAGACACTTCACTTCAATGACCATTTACGCACAGGGTTGCTGGCAGGGATTCCTAATCCTATTCAAAGGGATCATTCCTCTACCAAAACATGGTTAGCTCTTTCAGGGACTCGTTCAGGCAATCTCTAGAACTACACAGAATAGCTTCATTTACTCTTGGGGGGGAAAAAAACACCTTTGAGTGAGTGACTTTGCATGGGCCATGCAATTCCAGTAGGCGGAGGGAAGACTCTCTGAAAAACAGTTCTCAAAGATTTAACAAAATGTGGTTCAAACGTACACTTTTTTGGGGGGTCTTATGCTGGAATAAGCGTAGTCAGTCTTGAAGGTGGCACCAGACTCCTTTTTCATTTTGCTGCTCAAGACTACGTGGAATTCGTTTTTGAAGGACAAAAAACAAGAGAATTGACACCTCCTCTCAATTGCGATGTTGGTTTCGACATTTTTCTCAAACCTCAGTCAAGGCTGTGGCGCCCTGCAGTATTAACATAACACGGGATCTTTCTCTTGCGGGGCTTCTCCCCCCCCTCTTTCCCGTTTTTGGTCAAGGTGAACTTCCCCCCCTCCCCGTGTTGTGGTGCCGCTTGGAGGCGTTCCCCCCCAAATGCGCTTTCGTGAGGCGGCAGGAGAGAGGCTCCGACTGCATCTCCAGCGCGAGGGGAAGAGCTTAACGCCGTGGAGTTCAACTTTGCTGAACTGCGCGGCTGTGATTGGCAGAGGAACTGTCCAGGAAATGGCTCGGGTTTCAACTTCGGGGGTGTGACCAAGGAAAGGAGGGAGGGAGGGAGAGAGAGCTTGTGAAGTTGATAAAACTTGTGAGTTTGCTTGCAACAGGGATTCTGAATGGACTGGATCGGGACTTAAGGCACTGGTTTCTGCGCTGCAGGTTTTTTTCCCCTTCCCCCCCAAAAAACATTGTTTTTGGAGGTTGTTTTTTCTTCTTTCTTCTCCCAAGCCTGGATCCTTAGCTGCTGTAGTGAAGCGGGCAGGAAAAAGTTTGTGGCAACACGCTGGTTTCAGTCTCCCCCCCCCCCCCTAAAACATTTTTTCTCACTAAAATATTTTTCCCCAAAAGAACCCTTTGGAACAAACTTCCCTTTCTGCTGGCGTTTCTGTAGAGCCCCCCCCCCCCCTTTGGTAGAAAGCGTTGCGATGGCGGCGACGGGGGTCGGGCTTGCCGACTTCTCCCCCCGGGTTCGGGGGTTCGAATCGACGTTTCAAGGCGCCTGAATATGGAATAAAACCGAGGACGACTGTTTTGCTTTCGCACCGTCCTCCCCCGGGCCGAGGAGTCTGCCGTCGTCGCTTTGCTTCATCCCGTACACACGCCTGCTACAAGGGAATAGCAGATCGCTTACTCGGAGCCTTTTCATACGAGGTAATTGGACCAGGCTTGGCTTGCAGTTAGGAGGCGCGAGGGAGGGCGCGGGAGGGGGACGGGGGAAGAGAGATTAATCCCTACTTTTAAAGAAGCGCGACGATCTCAAAGAAGGAGGTTTCCTGGCCATCGCAGCCTGCATTCTCTCCCCCCCCTTCCCTCCGCCCAGGCAATTGCTTTGTGCTTTTCGAAGCAACGTGTGGCCCCTTTGCAGGATCCAAATCTGCCCCAACTACTGTTCCTTCGGTGCTCGAGGGCTGCATGCCGAAAACAAGGGGGGCGTCCCGTGTGCTCTTCCCAGCGCTCTGCAGTCAGAGGCTTGCCGTTTTAAAAGTGACGTGTGACCACAAGTCCCTAATAAGTGGCCACCCCCCACTGGCATGGGTCAGATAAGCTCGATCAGATGTGCTGGTGTGCAGATGTGGCACATAAGATTTAGTGGGCACCCATCTCTCCGAGTTGATGGAGCGATGGGTCCCTTGTGAGTAAGATATCGGTTTGCAGTGAGGTCAAGAATTTTGTATAGAAACTGAGGTTGCTGAAGACTTCACACCCGCTCCTGAATACATTTACTTGGAGCTGAGCAAGTCCTGTTGGGTTCCAGGTGAATGAATGTGCTTAGGATAGCCACCTTAGGTCTCCCACCCACTCACCCACCCAGCTTTTGCATCCCAATTTGGTGGCAAAGTTCTTCTCTTATTACTCTAGCTTTTGCAGTTCTTAGATTTGTAACCATCCCCTCCCCTATAACAAAATTTATGTTAAATTCTGCATCTTTAGAATGTCATGTATACATTTTATACTCTTCTGTCAAGTATAGCCCTGTAACCATTGCTTAATTTGAGGAAAAGGTTTAGCCCCCTGAAATCTGTTTCTCTTGCTAGTCTCTGGAACTGGAAGTAGCAAAGCAGTATACATTTGAGCATGTGCAGAGTACCCCCACACCCCTGAGCAACCTGAAGTGCAACAGCATGTCATTTCTGGGCATGTTTCAAGCCCCCAAACTTTTCTTTTTAGTTGCTCAGCACTGCTTGTGACTGCCATCCCCGATTATGTTTCCAGTTACGATCAGATGCACACTGTATTCCATAAAGAAGAAGTCCTTGTGGAATTTTATGGTTGTAACAGGACCCAAATTGTAGAGCTACAATTTAATTGGCGTGGAATTAAAGGGCTTTTGTTTGAAGAGGGGGAAAATTTGGGGTGGAGAAGGGGATCTAGTTTATTCAGTTGCAAGAAGCATGAGGATGAGGCTTTATGAACGCTGAACACATCAAAACCTGTGTGTGTGTGTGGAAATTCACCTATAGTGTTACAGAAGGGACCTAGTTAAGGGAAAAAAACACATGGAATCCTTTAGCGAATGTTGCAACAATCTGTGTACATGGAGAGAAATGATTTACATGGAGCTTAGTGGAAACGTGATGTAGAAGTAACGCAGAGCAAAAGTACAAGACGTTCTCCATCTGGGGAGGCATTGTTTAAAAGCTGACTCTTTTTGGGGGGTAGGGGTAGTAATTCATAATTTTCCTTCCTCACAGAAGGAGAAAGCCCCATGGAATATATATATATTTATATTTCAGTGTGAAAAACTGCCCTTTCAAACAGTGGCCCATTATGTGGTTGGTGTGAAGCGCCATCAACATTTCAAACCTCATTGTCTCCTTTGTACCAAATCCCTGTAAATCTTCTACTTGCCTTTACTCATTTTCATCTGAAAAGCCTGTTTGGTTTGAATAGACTGCAATAAGCAGCCTCTGTACCTCTCTGGAATGTCAATTAAAATGCAGATTTCTCTCTCTCTCTCTCTCTCTCTCTTTTTCTCTGATCCACAGAAGATGTGGGAGAAAAATAGGCTAGACCTGAGGGGAAAAATGAATGAAAGACGTTCAAACAATGCAAAACTACTGATGCTGCCAGGCTGTTTTCCTGAATAACCTTCCAGAATTAATGTTTAATTGCTGATCCCTTTGAAGATTGCAGTGTGAAAAGGCGGGGTGGTGGTGGTGGGCGGGAGGGGCTTTGCTCTCTTCTGCTGACCAGATTCAGTGTACTGTCACTTAATTGCTATACAGCTAATTTTCTATAAGCTGGGAGAGGACATTGATCCATACTTGCATGGGTTTTTGCTGTGTTCTAAATGCCTAGCAGAAGACGCAGGTCAGGGTATTGATTTGGATGACACACAGATCGTTGCCAGCTCTCTGTGGAGCGATAAACATCGCCCAAATAACAATGGGGGCAGATTAAAATGAACATTTAGGATTGAACTTAATTACTAGCACTCTAGAACAAGTCCTACTTGTTTGTCCGTGCCTTTTAAAAAAAAATGTTGAGCTGCAGCTTGAAGGAATTTGGTCTGGCTCCCAACCCCGGGCTCCTCTTCCCATGCTTGTCAGTTTGGCAAAGAAAATTTGGGCAGGTATGTGACGAGGTGAAAATTGACTTGATGAGCCAACCCCGGGCTCCTCTTCCCATGCTTGTCAGTTTGGCAAAGAAAATTTGGGCAGGTATGTGACGAGGTGAAAATTGACTTGATGAGCGGGTGGCAAGGCGAGCCATCAATCAGGAGTGGCTGACAACTCCGCCCCAGTGTAAGGGCTGAGAAGAGAGACAGAGTTCTCTTTCAAGGGGAAAAATAAACAGTATGTGTGGCTTTCACTGAGCCTGAGACTCCGGGAGGGATTATGCTATTGTAGTCAGGAAGCCAGAATTGTAGAGGCCAAAAAGCATGCTGGGGCTGTGTTCCAAACATTGAGATAGAGGTACATAATTACCCAGGGTAGGAGGTCCCTCTATAAGATCATTGGGCAGGGACTATGGCAAGTCAGAAGGTTAAGGAATTTGGGGCTGTTGTTTTTTTTATCCCTCCTGGAGGGGCCCATCTGCTTCAAGATGAGGGGTGGGAAGCTTCATGGTCAGTGGTGAGCGCTCATGTTTCTTTAGGAACATGGTAGTGGGAGTTAATTTGATTCAAAGATGTCTAATTTGGCTGCTGCAAAAACACCAATGCAGAAGGAGAATGGTTTGTGTTAGTGTAGATTCAGGCGGGTAGATGTGTTGGTCTGAAGCAACAGAACAAAGTTTGAGTCCAGTGGTACCCTTAAGAACAACAAAGTTTAATTCTGGGTATAAGTTTGCGTAGGAAAGTTTATACCCAGAATGAAACTTTGTTGTTCTTAAAGGTGCCACTGGATTCAGACTTTGTTCTTGTGTTAGTGTAAGTTGCTTGCATAGTGGTTTTTTTTTGAGCTCAGGTGCAGTGAGAGATGTATATCCCACCTGCCTCAATTTCTGTAGAAGGAGTTCCCTTCTATAGGTCTTTCTATCACACTCTAGAAAGAAAATGCCTTTAAAAATAAAGGATGTCACTTTTTTTTTTTTTTGCTTTTTCTCTCTCACTGTTCTCCAAGGAGCTCAGGGCCACTTGCATGGTTCTCCTGTCTTCCAGTTTACTCTCACTGGCCATGAGGTGTGTGCTTGCTATCCTGTGAGGTAGGTTAAATTGAGAGTGAAGGACTGCCATAGTTTTTAATCCAGCGAGCTTCATAGCAGAGTGGGATTTAAACCTGGGTCTCTCCTGCAGCCTGGTGCTCTAACTGTTGTACCACACTGGAACCATACACCATCTGGCAGTCTTCGGTCAATTATGAATGGGTTATGAACAACTTGTATAATCTTTAGGAGAATATGGAGTCTGTAGAAGTCCGTATAAATAGTTAACATAGGTACATGGCACTTCTCTGAAGAAAGACAAGTGAATTCTGGTTCTCAGTTTTTGGTTGCGCCTGGAATATGTCCACAAAGACTAAACTAATCTAAAGAGACCACATGGATTTATACCCACTAGGTCCTTTTCTGGTAACATATTGCAACTCTTTCTTTCTTAAAGCTGTTATGCCATTTTTATGCATTTATTTTTGAATTAATGGAAGGTAGCGCCAGACAAGCTGGGCTCTGGAGCCTTTGTTTAATGAACAAAAGTCTTACTGCTAAAGATTTTACATGAAAGTTGGAGATTGCTTATGAACCATGGAAGTCTATGTGTAAAACCAAACATTAAGTAGTAGGGCAGTTACTAATTGCAGCATTTGTGAAGGTTTTTGTCAAATTTTGATTGTGAAGCATTTTGTTAGTTTCTTGACTATTGGCTTGCGGTAACTTGAATATGTGTGGAATGACGGTATATCGCTTGTAAGCACTTTTTCTGTGGGGAAAGTGCTTTTTGGGGTACCCCACTGACATATCCTTGTGACATCTGCCATGAAGGAGTTTACATCGAGTGTGTTGACATCCAGGACTAAACAGGGAATGTCTGGAGAGCAATTGGATATTGGTCTCTACGAAGGAAGACAGACTGGTTCCTCACAAATCTCCCGACATTTAAACCCTCACAGAATAGAGAAATATTATTGAAGTATTGCTGTTCTTAAAAAAAGAGAAAAGACTCTGGAACATAAGGGAGAACAGAAGAAGCAGAATGACAATGGCTACATTTTGTTTTCTTTCACCTCTGATAGTAACCACTGAAGTTTAGGCTCTTTCTCAGTGCAGTTAAGATCTATCCCTGACTATATAAATAATCATAAATGCTACAGCTGTTTGATTTATTTGTCCCCTGATGCCTTAGACTTTTTAAAACAAAAGAAGACACAGGTTTCTGTTTGATCCAGTTATTGAAATGGTTTGTGCAGTGCAGGGCCCCTCCCCGACTTCCAGGCCAACTGTGTTTTACCAGAACACTGTTGGTGTTTTTAAAAGAAGTAGTAGTAGTAGTAGTAGCAGCTGTACTGTTCTTCCATTGAACGTGGTTGTGTGGAAGGGACTGCACTGAACTTCTCCTACTGGTGGTGTCAGATGACTGCAGAGAGAAAAAAGGAACCTTTATTTTACTAGAGAGGTGGCTATATTAGGCTGTACCAGCAAGAATAAACAGAGGTCTTGTGGTGCTATTGTGAATTACAGGCATATCCATGGAAGTTTATGCTGGAATAAAAACCAGTTAGTTTTTAAGATGCTGTAAGACTCCTGGTCTGCTCATTTTCATAGTAGTGTATTGGAGAAAATGTGGACATAAGTAATAATACAAGACTTAGTGTTTATTAAATATGTGGCTCACCCCTTTTCTTCACCACAGTTCTCTGTGTTATGTTGACTTACCCAACGTCATGTGGTAACTTTGATGGTTGAGTTGGGTTGGAGGGACATTGGTTGGAGTCCAGCACTTTATGTAGTGTTACTGCACAGGATCTCCTGGATTATCCAAATTATTTCAGTAATCTTTACCACTACCCTGGAACGTAGGCCAATATCTACATATAAGTAACGTAGGCTAATATATAGATATACAACACCATGTATTATGGATAGAGGAGTACAGCTGAGGACCACAGAATGGAGTATGTGGCTGAGAGGTTGTACTCCCGTCCTTGCATGCATGTGAAAATAAATGCAAGTACAGGAACTAATTTACCTTCTTCTCATCTGACTCTTGGGCACCCCATCTGTAGTATACACGGCAATCCTTGACTTCTTCAACCCAGTCTTGCTTATTTTAGGTTTTAAAATGAAACATGATGGGCTTGCACATGTATGTAAGTATGTTGTGTTCTTAAAACAAACTTTATAGATTTCTCCGATTAAAAGAGCTCTCTTAAGCATGTGATCTGGCATCCCAAAGTTCTTAAGCCTAAGAGATGCCTGGAAAAAAAAATCTGTTTCTCAGCCATGATGATTCCCATTAATACTATTTTGTCTAAGTAGTTGCTGCTTCTGTCTTACTAGCCAAGAGGCTATTACCACTGCATTTTCCTTGCACTGTCTATGGCCAAAGTTGACAGTTTCCTCAGAAAATCTAAAAAAAACCCCCAAAAACCCACCATGAGAAGACATGGAATAAATACATAAAATCAAAAGCATGAAACTATGTTTCATAGAACTGGCAATGTCATTATAAAATATTTACGTCCACTTAGTTTGATGCATAGAATGAATATTTTCAATTTTTATACGTAATACTTTCTCACAGCCAATGCTTCTTAGCAGGGCAATGAAATGAGGCTGCTTGCAAAGCAAGGTAGGGAGGCATTTTTGTATATCTGAGTGACTTTCCAGGTATGCAGAAAAAATATTGCTTTGTAAATTTAGAACATGAAGACCTCCCCCCCCAATTGCCAGTGAGGATGGAGCATGCTCATTGCCCTTCTGGAGGCACAGAATGTTGAGGGCAGTTAAACATTAGCAAGAGACAAAAAATAAAGACAGATGGAGAATTGAAGGAGGAAATTAGCTTATTCTCGTCCATTACGGTATCCTGGAGAGGGAGATGTGTATAGGGGTGGGTGGGTGGGTGGAGAAATTGCCGATGATTTAATCTCACTATGATCTCTTGTTGCCCCCAGATTCTCTCTGTTTATAACTGAGAACAGGCTATATCCCTCTATTTTGTTAAAACTGGTGTTCTATTAACACATTGTGCCTGGTTATTTGGACCTGGGGCTGGGGAGTCTGCATCACTCTATGTCTGATTAATGTTTCAGGAAGGATTCAAGTTCTGCATTGTTGGTAGTTGTTTGGTAGAATCTATTATTTAACTTTGGCTTTAGAAAGACTATCTCGCATAAATTCCATTTTAAAAAGTTTAGTAAAAAGCAAAAAATGTTTGTGGGCATTTCAGTGTTGAGTAGGTGTCACTGTTACTTCTGTCACTTACATTTCAAGTAAAAGCACTAAGTATCGCTACAGTTTTAGTATGGGCTATTGTTTTTCCTTATCAGTTCTGGGCCATGGGTCATTTATTGTTTCTGTTCTGCAAATGTGGCTTGAGCCTCAGTGAAAGAAACTGACCTGACTAGGGGCATGCGGGAGACTGATTCAAACATGCAAAATAGCACAATCTTTCTTGAAGCTGAATTCTGAGATCTGAAGAGCCAGTGTCAGAGTAGGATCTGGGAGACCCAAGCTCAAGTCCCCGCTCTACTGTGAAAGTTCAGTGGGTCACCTTGAGCCACTTATTCTGTTTCAACCTAGCCTTAGTCGCAGAATGGTTGCAGTGGAGATAAAATGGAGGTGTGTTGTAAGCTGCTTTCACTATACATTGGGGAGAAAAGCTGTAAACATCGAAAGAAATAACTAAAACAATTGGTAAAGTTGAGGGAGGGCTGTTGTCCTGTTTGCTCTTTCTGCCATTTTAATTGGTTTACTGAGTCCAAGGAAATGTGGGGCTTGGATTCTCCTCTCCACGATTCCGCCTTCTGTAGATATGAATACATTGGCTTGCATATTGGCATTAACCATCAAAATTACTTTAATGATATTTGTTCAGTCATGGACATGATTTGAAAGTGCACTAAAACTGAATTGTGTGCAATCTACCATCATGGTGGATAGAATGAGGCACTTGTAATAAAAGATAAACTATCTCTGTAAACACAATGCCATTTCTACACACATTTCCTCCTACTCTATCTTGTGCTTCTCTTAACTTTTTTCTTTTTCTTTTTTTTTGCTGGCAAACATCCCAGTTCTTGGCCAGCACACAGCTTCTATCACCTCTGTTTCAGTTCATGACTGCAGGGAACCTACCGTGTCTTGGGTCCTGCAAAAAGTAGAACAGAGTTTGGTTTGCCTGAGCTGCTGATGCTTATGGAAAGCAAAGCATACTTTTGGACTGTGTCTTAGAATAACTTAATACTGACATTCAAAACAATTCACCTAACTCACAAAATCTTTATTCCTTGTCTCCTCAGGAGAAGCAGCAGCTGCTGGGCATAAGCAAGTACTTCTTGAGGCTTAAGGTGCTGCTTTCAGCTCATGCTTGTATAGAGGAGCTCAGATGGGATTAAAGTCCACATGGAGGCATGGAAAAGAACCAAGGACTTGCACTAAGAAGATGGTAAACTGGGATTCATGTTGCCTTATTTGCCTGGTGATGATCACCATGGCTGGATTTTCATTGGCTCGGCCATCTTACAACTTAGTTGGTGAAGACACCACTTTGGAACCTGAAGGTGAGTCATGGTTTTGTTGTTTTAAATGGGTTTGGACATTTAAGGTACCATTTGGTGCCTGCATGTATAACTGGCAGCAAGGTTATCTAACCACTTTGTGGTCACCTGTGTTCCAAAAGTGGAAATATTTATGCAGAGACGATTTTTGTTGTGTATAACTTTTTAAAGGGGGGGATGTCTTACATTCAGAGTTGTCTTCATTTCAAGTAAATATGGTATTTTGGCTGAATTGCTATGGTATTGCTGGAAAAAGTATAGAAGAGGGGAACCAAGATCATCAAGGTGTTGGATCACCTTTCCTATGAAGAAAGGCTGAAGAGTCTGGGACTTTGTAGCTCAGAAAAACAGAAGGCTAAGGGGGACATGATAGGGATTCATAAAATTATCCATGGAGTGGAGAAAGTAGATAGAGGGAGCTTTCCCCCCTCTCCCACAGTACTAAGATTTGGGGGCACCCAATGAATTTGATGAGCAATACATACAGAACAGACAAAAGGAAATACTTCTTTACTCAATAGGTAATTCAGTTGTGGAATTCACTGCAAGTGGAGGTAGTGATGGTCACAAGTATAGATGGCCATGGAGAGTAAAGGGAACCTGTATATTTAGAGGCAGTAGACTCCTGATATCCAGTACTAGAAGGCAACATCAGGTGAATGCCTTGGCTTCTGTGCTCTGTTTGTTGGCTCCAGGACCAACTGATTGGCTGCTATATGAACCAGGATGCTGGACTAGATGGTCTGATCCAGCAGAGCTCTTCTTACATGCTTACCAAACATGGTTATGGACTCTATGCAGGAGAATGTGATAACTACCAAGAAAAGCTTCAGAGGGGTAGCCATGTTAATTTCCCGCAGCCAAAATAATAGAACTTTAGTGTGCCTTAAAAGTTAAATATTTTAATGGTGGCGCTCAAGTAGGCTCTGACTCATTAAAGCATATGCTGTAATAATTGTGTTAGTCTTTAGGATGCCACATAACTCACAGTTCTTTGTTACTAAGGAACACTGATTGGTATTTGCGAAGAGTTCTGAGTGTAATCACTTTCAGACCTAGGATTATACAATTCCATTTCTCAGTAGTCTCATGCAATTCCAATTCAAGCTAAGCTTACTCACATGCTTGGTTAAAGAGGTGTGTACCTCTTGCAAAATGGAGAGCTTAATTAGTTGTTTGACAACTTAAGCCCACAAATATTTTATTTGGTTTAGACTTTGATTCTGGGAACTATTTATTGCTTGTTTACTTACGATTAAATAAAAGAGCAGTAACACTGATAAAGGCTATTGGGGTCATCTGTTTGTCAAACTTGAGGCTGCCCTATTCTTGAGGAACAAGGAATTCTAAAACCCAGCATTTAATAACCATCTGTTGAATTCTACCCAAAGTCCAGAATTTCACGAATAGGCTTAACTAACTGGTCTGTTTTGCATCAATAGTACAATTGGGTTTTTAAAAATTGTAATTGTTTCATGTTAGTCACTTCTATGTGTTAATTTTGGCTATAGTTGGTTGAACAAGAGTTTGCAAATCAAAAAGGCTATGCATTTAATGTTCATGTATTTTAATTTGACAAAGTAATACCAAATTTCAATTTATGTAGTGATGTAGCAGTGTTTTGGCCAGCATGGTATAGAACTTAGGGTGTTGTACTAAGACCAGAAAGACCTATGTTCAAATCCCGTCTTTGCCAAGAAGCTCAGTGGGTCACCTTGAACCAGTCACTGTTTCTCAACACACCTAGCTCCTAGGATAAAGGGAAACAGCTGTGCATGCTTCCCCAGGATGAAGGCTAGGAAAAGACTCATGGATAGCCAAATAATTCTCCTTCTGCTCCTGGAGATTAGATCCTGTTCCTCCCAAACTGTCTACTCTTTCCAAAATTCCATTCATTTTTATGAAATCATGAAGTTGTATTGGAATGTCCAAGCCTGCAACCCCCCTACTAGCTGTAGGGATGCAAGGGTTTGCTGGTACTGCTGAGAGGTGCATCCAAGGATTTGGAAACTTTTGCTCAGATCCCTTGAGTACTCAGAAAGCTGCCTCTCTTGGGTTTTGCATAATTAGCAGATGTGGATGAGGTCAGCCTTCGGGGGGCTGTACAAGCAGACACATGGGTCCGCCATCTTTGTGTTGCATAGGGCTGTTGCAGAAAATGTTCTTCCTTTTTCTTTTTGTGCATGTGTTTGGTTCCTGCTCTCTAGCAAGCTTCCCTTGTTTAAAAGTGACAGAAAAATCCCATGGTGTGTTTACTATTGGGGGTGTACGGAAATGCAAACAAAATCTGCAAGTTTATTTATTCCAAAGAAAATATTAAAAGATAATGCCTTTTCTTGCTAATATGCTTTGTGCAAACAATGGTTTTTAACAGCCGTAATAATTCTGAGTTTATATTCTGACCTAACGTTATTGATTTAGGGATGTCAGTTTCCAGTTTCCTCTAATTGTAGTATTTATGGAACTTTAGGAAGACATTTTTGATTACAGTGTATTTATTGGATGTAAGAATGTTTTTATTATGCTCTATAGAATACTGGGGCCCCCCTGCTCTCTCCTGCCACCCTCTGCTCCTCACAGTAAGGGGGTCAGTGCCTTCTTCCTATAGTTGCTGTTATTTTGTAACACCATGAGCTAACATATTTATATTAACGGAACTGTCAAAACAATCTTGTCAGTATAATGTTCATGAAATGTGTCCTATCCCAGATGGTTTGTCCAGGGATTTGGCCTCTGTGTATCATAGGATAATATGGCTTGTTTCCCCCCCCCCCAGCCTCTCCTCAGGTTATTGGAATGCATAATTGATGTTTTTTATTTCCTCATTTATAAATAAAAATAGGCTTTTCCAGAGGATTAGGATCGATCTTGAAAGTTCTTTATATTGGGTAAAATTGTACATTTTATAAAAATATATTAATGAAACATAGTGATATTCTTGTCCATCTTCAGTTGACACCATCAGAGAAAATGCTTGCTTTAGTTAATAAAAATAAAGGGGGAGGGGCATTCGTATGTTGCTTGTTTGCTAGTTTGCTCGTTTGGAATGTGTCAGATTCCAGAGTGCTGTTTCTTATCTTATGAATTAACAGGGATCCTTCACTGGTTAAAGCTTGGGAGTGTAAGATTCTATATTAACACCCCAAATTCTGTTGTCCAAAAGGTCCCAGGGGACAAGTAAATGCTACCAGAAATATGGAGCTATTTCTGAAAATGGCAGTGCTGTACATTTCACAGCAGCATCCAAGGATGTAAAACGGACAGGAGAGAGAAAAGAAAGATAGAATTCATGTGACATTAGTGAGGTGGGGGAAGATATATAGCAGCATCTTGTTGAATTTGTATTTCAGCAAAAATGAAGGGTAAAACGACAGTTCATACAATAGCAGTGCAGTTCTAAGCAGTGTTACACCCTTCTAAATTCACTGCTGTCAGTGGACTTAGAAAAGTGTAGGATTCCAGTGTAAATCTGTTAGTCTTTAAGTTGCCACACAACTCCTTGTTCTAGTGGCATCCTAGTAATTTTATTTTTTGGTAGCTAGGATGGGAGAGTGCGTATCAAAAAGTCATTGGCTCAGTAGGAGAAAAAAGCTCTCCATTTATATTTTAAGCCATTTATTTATTTATAAATGTCCCTTTCTCCCAGGCCTTCTAGGACGCAAAGCGGAATGCTATTATATTTGTTTGAATTTTCAGAAAACCCTGTGAGAAATACCGTGATTGTCTATAAACTGACGCTACATAATACCTTTTATTAAGACCAACCAAAACAGCATAACACATTCTGCATGCCTTCGAGTTCTCCAGAACTCTTCAACAGGTTGGAAGTTAAAAACCAAGAAGGGCCATTGGTCACTAAGGCTGTATCTGGTATAAGGTTCCATCTTTTCTATGGGACTGTTTCTTCTGATCATTGCCTGAAAGCAGCAGAATGATAGCAGAATGTTATAGTAGAGAAAGAAACCAGTAGAGAAAGAGCTGGTAAAAGTTTTAGGACAGACTTATCTCTTGGTAAGATATTTTTAATGGTTTTAAAAGAAGAGAAGATATTGGATTTATATCCTGCCCTTCACTTGGAGTCCCAGAGCAGCATACAAGCTCCTTTCCCTTTCCCTTCCCCTTCCCACAACAGACACCCTGTGAGGTAGGTGGGGCTGAGAGAGCTTTTTCAAGAACTGCTCTTTCAGAACAGCTCTGACAGAACTATGGCTTGCCCAAGGTCATCCAGCAGCTGCAAGTGGAGGAGCGGAGAATCAAACCCAGTTCTCCCAGATTAGAGTCCATGTATTTAACCACTACACCAAAGTGGTCTGTGTTGGATGTTTACTGCACAGACTCTAGATCTTACCAGTATATGGTATGCTTGAAAAGCAAGGGTTTTTTTTGAGGCAGAAATGACATAGACAAACATAGAACATTGGAGAACTGCTGAGAGAGAAGTACTGTTTGTGCACTTGGAAGTCATGGCGACCTCTAGTGACTGACCCCTATTGGGGACTTGGAGGATATTCAGAGAGGTGGCTGAATGAAGCCTGCCCTTGCCTCCAGGGGGGTGTCTCCCATCCAAGTACTTACCAGAGTCAACCCTGCTTAGCTTCCAAGATCTGATGAGATTAGGCTTCCCTGGGCTATCCAAGTCAGGGGTGTGCTTTTGAGAAGTACTGCTTTTTCAGATTTGCCATTGCTGCTTGCATTGGTGCCTACTGCAGCTAATTTGAGCCTGAACGATATGCTTCATCTCTGTGAAGGTTGAAATAACCCTAAGCCTCTTCTTAGAGCTTACGTTTTTAGTCAAGAACATGCTTTAAGAATGAGTGTGACCATAATGTATGAATGGCCCCAATGAGTAGACTTAAGTAGACTTCTGAGTAGACCTGCTCAGGATTTCACTGTTAATTCCCTTAAGCATGTTAAAAATGTGAATTTTAAATCAAATGCCATTTGAAAACCATCAAACATTTTATGATTCCTGCCGTGCAGCTAAGATCACTTTCTATATGTAA